CGCAGGGAAAGATCTCCAGTTTTTATGAACCTGATGGCTTGTCAAGACATTACACTACAGACTTTTAGGATTACGCTTCCTTTTGTTTGTTTGTTGTTAGCTGTAACCTAGAGGTAAGCACTGCAGTTGCTGAAGGCCTTAACCTGGGGAAACACAGCCAGAGGCACATTTGCATTCTGGGTCTCTCTTGATTCCCCACATTTAGTTTTGATAGGGCGGTTGCTCATATTTCATTGCTGGTTGTTTCATGAGCCTGTTAGCTTCGGCCGCAAAACTGAATTCTCTTCAGTTCTCAGCCGGAGCTCTCCATGAAATGTGACTGCCTCATGCTCAGGGCCACTTTTTCTAGGCGGAGGAACTGTGATCCAGTGTGTACCAAGCTGAACACACACATTATGAGAATCGCCTGCTGATGCTTCTGGAGGCAGGAGTAGTCTTGCTTGCTGGATCCTGAGTGGAAGCAACTACTAATGGGTTAAAATTTCCATTTTTTGTAATTGAAGAATATTTTTAATTGTGTGTGTGTGTGAAGAAAGGCATGTGCACATGAGCGCAGTGCCCGTGGGGGCCAGGCGGGGGCACGGCGTCATCTAGAACTGGAACTCGAATTTCAGTTCTCTGCAAAGGTACCTGCTCTTAACAGCTATAATTCCTTGTAATTGTTATTGTCACACACACACACACACACACACACACACACACACACACACACACACCAATTTTTGAAGTATGCCTCATTCTCATTCATACTCGGCAACTGTCCCCACCACCTCTCTCCAGCCCCTCCGGCAAGCACAGCCTGCTTTCCCCACCCATTTGCTTATTCTGAATACCTCACACAAGTGGAGTCATCCGATATGTTCACAGACATGGGACTTGCTAACTTCATTTATCCCTGTGTCCTCAGGGTCTATTCCATGTAGCTGAGTGTATGGGAATTGCTTTCCATTTCAAGGCAGAATAACACTCCACTGTAGCTGTGTACCACATTTTAAAGAAAACATTTGCCTGTGATGGCAGCCCTTCCTTTGGAAGAGCAAGCGTGAAAGGTGGCGGAAAGAGGTGAGCTGCCTGCAGCCCCCCCCCCTTCAGTGCTGACTGAGGCTGCAGAGTGGGCGGCTCTGAACAGCGGCGCCCTGCTCTGCAAAATGAGTGCAAAAGGTCAACACTATTAAATACTCTCCATAACTCTTTTCTCCTCTTCAGATCCCCAACTTGCTCAATCACTTTATACAGTTGCTCTCAGGACTTGCCACAGCCTACTCGGGAACTGTTTAGATAAGTTTTTCCCTCTTCCTCCCCAATCTCGCTATTTATAGCGTTGCTCTTCACTTCCCACTTAGACGGAAGTCCGCCAGAACGGAAGGTGGTTTATCTTCCCTTCCTTTTCGGGGGAGGTACATGCTCATTTTATTACTAAAGACCTGTCTGCTGATGAGTGCGGACCCCTAAGTTTTTGCCTTACTTTCAGTTCGTGAGAGATTTATCACTCCTTGGTGATGTTTGGAAATAATTTAAGGCTAGAAAGCCATTCTCCCAGTCCTTTATTTTCTAGCTGGGCTGAACAACTGGAAAAAAATGATTTTGGGAGCAGGAGCTGGCTCTGAGGTTAATGTGCTTACTGTGGGATCATGAGCCGACCTCAGATCCTCAGCAGCCACGTAAAGGCCGGGGGCGGCGGTACATGTGTGTAACCCACACGTGCTGGGGTCGGGGGCTCACCAGCCGTGTAACCGTATCCGTGAGCTCTGGGTTCATCAAGAGATCGTGTAAAAAAAAAAAAAAAAAAAAGAGTAGACACCTAAGGTAGGCCTTTGGTCTCACCTGTGCATTCACAGGCAAGGGCTTCTGCGCATGCCTGTGCACACACACACACACACACACACACACACGCACTAGCTTTACCGAAAGCTAAGAATAGAACTATCCCAGGAGTAGCAGGCTGTCTCGTTCCTGTCTGTGTACGTGAGAGGCTCTAAGTCAGCGTTCCACAGGGACATCCTCAGGCGGTGCTCACTGTGGCCCTATTCAAAGAGCCCCGGTGCCAATCAAGACAGGCTAGGTGCCAATCAAAAGAATACATACCGGAAGTTTTACATACATACATACATACATACATACATACATACATACATATGTGTATATGAATTGGGCCATTAAAAAGTAAAATTCTGTCATTTAACACAAAATACATGAAATCGGAGATCATAATATTGAGTGAAAAAAGCCATACTTAATATATTAAGACAAATAGCACACTTTTGTCTTCGTTGTGGGTTTTCACAGTTAGTTGTTGTCAAATTAGCACAAACCAGTGTAGGGAACACCCTCAGAGTTTGGAAGGTGGCTGAAGGAGGCATGGTGACGTCTCTCTGCGAACGTCTTTAGAGTCTCGGCCATAAAGAGACTCTGGGTGCTTTAAAAGGTCTAACATTTGCACATAATGGCTATTGTGTCGGATTTATAAGGCTGAACTATGTCAGGCAAGATGGCCTCACAGGGCTCTTAAAGTGTGAGTTTCCTTGGTTGTTTCATGTCTTAGAGTCACAGTTGCGGCGCTGGGGAGATGCTTAGGGGAGATGCTTAGTCTGTAAAGCACCTGGCCCGCACACGTGAGAAACCGAGTTCCAACGCCAGCGCGCCTGGAAAATGTGGGCGCAGTGGTTTGGGCTTGTCATCTCAGCCCTGGGGAGGCGGGGACTCTGAGTCTCAGGATCACTGGCCAACCAGCCTTGCCTCAGTGGTGATCTTGAGGTTCACCATGCCTCAAAAAAGGCAAAGTGGATGGCTCTTGAAGAGGAGTACCGGAGGTTGTACTCTGGCCCTCACACACATCCTCACATGTGCACCTCTGTGCAGCCCTGAACCCAAACAGGACCACACACAAGCACACATGCAAGAATCACAGGGGCTTGCTTAGCTGTAGAGTCTGTAGGGTGAAACCACCTACTGGACATTCCAGGCTTATAGATGACTGCTTATGTTGGACGTTTTGATCTATTTTGCTGTTGTGCTATTTTAAAAAGATTTCTCTGTCTGTCCGTCTATCTGTCTGTCTGTCTCTCTTTGTGCCTCTCTGAGTGTGTCTGTGTGTATAGGTATCACAGGAAGATGTGCAAGCCCCCTGGAGTTATAGTCACAGGTTGTGAGCTGCCCATCAAAGGCCCTGGGAATTAAACTCAGATATTTTGGAAGAGCAGCCCAGTCCTTAACTGCTGAGCTATCTCTCTAGTTCCACTTTGTGCTATTTGAAGCAAGATTTGTTTCCACTTTGTATCATTTTTGTGCCCTGCAACTGACTGTATTTCTTTGCCCATATTTTCTACCCTTAGTCTCCACTGTAAGATTCTGGGCCGCCTCTGGCAGCCAGAGGGTCATCCTCATAGTGACTGGACAAGGCGGAGGAACTGATTTTAGCCTCTCAGGGGAGAGGATAACTCAGCTCACATGCTGTCGTAATTTAGCCTGGATTAAAGGGCACTTACTGGAAAACATTGCAGGCTCTATGGTGTGCTGTTGGAAACTGATTTTCTCCCTCTATTTCCCCAGAGCCTTTTTCCCCTCCGCCTGGAGCACACACTTGGAGCTTCAGGAAGCGGCGTCCTGTTGCAATCACAGCTTCATTGTTCTTCTCGTGTTATTTATTTAGTGTCTTTCAAAGAGTAATTCCATTGCCTTTAATGGTACTAGAGAATCACAAAGAGCCTTGGGGACAGTGCAGGGACTCGGTTCTTTACTGGGCAGCCCCAGCCTGGAAGTCCGCAGCAGTATTATTGCCACACCAGCGGAAGAACTTGAGAGCCCTCTCGTGTCTTTACCTCCTCGTCACTCCTGAGATGATGTCAGTCAGTCAACCTTCTAATCTTGCAAAATCATTCACTTTGTAAAACCTTTGTTAGACCGCAGCGGTAACAGAATGTGTGTCAGGCAGCCGTGTGACCCTTGGCATTTCACATCACCTCTCTGAGTATTGGTATTCTTAGCTGCTGACGAATGGAGAGGGACAGGAGAATCAGTGAAATGGTGGGAAGGAAGGGAGCAAAGCCAGGGGCCTGATAAACAATCCTCAGGCAGGCCGCCTTTCTTCCTGTATGACCTCACAGTAAAAGAGCAACAACAAATGTCCCCTACACTGATAGAAGCATGGTAGCATGTGGGTGTATGCTCACTTGTGTTGATTCGTGTTAGCGTGTGCACATATATTCACATGTGTGTGCTTCCCAATGTGGAAGGCAGAACCTCACATGCCACCTACCTTGTTTTTGAGACAGGCCCCTCTCTGGCTTGTAGCTCACCAAGCAGGCACCACGGGCCCTCCTGTGTCCACCTCCCTAGCAGCAGGATTACAAGTGTGCACGTGCCCCATGTTTTCGGACACATTGGTCCTGGGGACTGAACATAGGTGCTCATGCTTGCACAGCGAGCATCTTATCAATGCGGCTAACTCCCCAGCCCTGGCTCGGTTTCCTTCTGGCTCCTGGAGGTCTCCGTGTTCCTTGCAGGTGAGGTGTGGGTACACGGTAGCTATGCCCACTTCATGAACATGACCTCGTGCTGGGGCCAGTTCCCTCTTCCTCTGAATGCCCAGGAGAAAGCAGAGTGCCAGGGACTGTGCTGAGTGACTCTCTGGGAGGGTTGCCACATGAGAATGTCCACAGTATTTTATTTCTAAATCCTGTCTTAGCTCCCGGGCCCTCTAGGGACCGTGGTTCTCTCTGAAGCAGATGGCGTAATTGTCACCAGCCTCCTGGCGAACAACTGTGTCTGTCACTCCTTTTTCTCCTCCTGAATGGAGGAGACCCTCTGGGGCACTTGGCAGTCTGGCTATCCAATGGCTTCAGAGCCTGGATTTTTGAGGTCTTGTTGTCCTAAGGCTTTCTTCCTGTGCCTGGGTGGCTCCCAGGGCTCATCACAGAGGAGGCATGGAGGAGGGGCCGGATCTGCATGTGCCTGGCACATACTCACATGGCTGTGGTCTGCTCTTCTCTCCCTTCCTCCAGAGTATAAGAAGAAGTATGGGGAGGAACATGGCTCCTGCCAGGCTGGGATAGCAGGCTTCTTCACTGAGGTAGGTATCAGCCATGAGGCATTTATTTCTCTCTCCTTCTTGGTGTCTGGTCCTGTCCATCCTGTGGTTGGGGTGGCCCATGGAGATGGGATTTCTGGTGTTCTGGGCAGTCCAGCCCTGGGTAAGTAGATTCTGATGTTGCTACCAGGGGATGCGATTTAAACCTGATGAAGGGCACTAGCGGGGATGAGACCACGTGAGTGGAGGGGCCTCATGGGAAGGTTTCTACAGAGGTTGGCTTCAGTTTGAAGACATGTCAGCCGCCCGGGTGTCGCCTCACACCACTGCTGCCTCCTTAGCAGAGACTCAGTCTTACACACATCGGCTTCCTGTTTCTTCAGTTCTGGAAGCCTCTGCTCTGTCCAGGTGACAGGAACAGAGTGCGTCTTGACTGCTAGGACATTTTTAGGTACCGTTTTCCCTGTTACAAACACACTTCCGTATTTTGTGTGTGTGCATGTGTGTATGGGCGGTTTATCACAGCTCATGTGTGGAGGTCAGGGAACAACTTTGTCTCTTTCCACCATGTGTGTTCCAGGATCAAATTCAGGTCTCCAGGCCTTGAGCCGAATGTCTACACCCTGAGCCGTCGCAGTCCCCAGGGACTTTTTCTCATTTGATATCATCTCCTCTAAGTTTGTACATGTTCACGGCTTCTAGCCACATGCCCTTCCACTCCTGGCTTTGCAAGCAGTAGCATTGCTGTCCACACACGCCTTCAGGCCAAAGATCAAAAGAGCCTTTGCACTCCAAGCTCCTCTGCGTCCTGTTTAACCCCAGAGCACGTCCCAGGTGACAGCTGTCCTGTATCCTCACCTCACCCAGTGATGGCCACGAAGCCTTTTAGAAAAACCACCTGCACCCCTCACAGACTCAGTGGCCCTGGATTGTCTCCAGTGATTCCTAAAGGTTTTATAAAACATCTTATAAATTACGTTGATATGTGTGTGTATGCAAGTGAGTGCAGTGTCTGCAGAGGCCAGAAGAGGGCATCAGATCCCTGAGCCGAGCGACGGTTGGTTGTGGGCAGCCTGACATGGATGTTGAGAATGGAACGCAGGTCCTCTGGAAGGGCAGCGAGCACTCTTAACTGCTGAGCCATCTTTCCAGGTCCTGCCTTGTTTTGTTTATCACTATCAAATATACATAATACAAATTTTTCCATTTACTCATTTTTAAAGCCTAGAGATCAGTGGCTTTTAACGAATTCAGTGTCGTGTAGCTGTCACTCTTGTCACTCTTGTGTAGTTCCCCCTACCCTTCAGCCTGGGTCCTTTCTTGAGTGGTACCATATGTTTTCTGTCCAGCAGCCTGAGGGATTTTGCAAAGTGAAACCTTCCATCCTGACCCCATGGCCTCCTATTGCATGGAAGACAAGGGCCCCAGTTGCACATCATTACCCAGGGCCTGAATCTCAGGACCCAGTGCTTTTTCCTCCTGCACCACATTGAGAGGGCAAGGAAGGGAGCAGCCTCTGGCCCCAGGATTTTCTTTCTGAAGAACATCTTGGCAGAGTCAGAAGTGAAATTGTCTACCCTGTTTTCAGAGACTGCGCTATAAAGTCAAAGAGAGAGCAGTTGGTAATATAGTATCTGCTCCAGAGACAACAAAGAAAAGACAGTTTCACCAGCTTCACCCTCGAACTAGCGAACTCCAGGTGCTTTGTTTCCAACCTCCAGTAGCTTGCCACACCCCCTCTCACCAGTTCCTTTTCCTGATTCTCTGTACCCGTGATGTTCAACATGCATCCCACGGTCTCTGCGGGTCTGGCCCCCACAGAAAACAGGTGAATTAAAAACATTATAAAGTGTACCTTGGCAAGTTTGTGTATCACATTTGCACAGTTCTTAAGCATGGACGCCAAGTCCTGTTGGGAGGTCAGACAGATGGACCTACCTGGTCTACACAGAGTTCCACGCTGGGTCCTGGGTTGGCACTGCCATTTGTCATAGCTGTTGCAGTTAAGATGAAAATGTCCCTCTGCCCCCTCTATTCCATCTCATAAGTTTGCAGCCCATCACTGAGACACGCTTTCTCTCTGCATGGCCCCTCCCCACTGAGGAGCCCTTGTCATCTTTTCCCCAGTCTGGCCTCCCCAAAAGAGTGCCTCAGAAACACCTTCTACAGACAGCAAAGGCAGCGTGGTTCTGCTTGCTCAGAGCAGTGTCTTCCCATCAGCTTTTGATGAAATCTAAACTCTGTGCTTCTCTGAGCCTCCTGGGGCCCCCTGCCTCTCTAGCCTCAACTATTTCCCAACTGCTCCTGTGTACGCTGCCTCCAGCTTGCCTGTGGTTGCTGCCAGGACCTGTCACATTTTCACCGTGGGCATTGCACTGGAGTACCACACTGAGCCCTGTGCACAAGAGGGCACTATGCACAGTAAGATCCAGAGGTGTTCAGCAATTGAATTTTGGTTTACTCTGCTTTCAGTCACAAGTGTGAGGTACTGGTCTACTCACAGAGCTGCTTCTAGAATATTCTTGGGCATAGGAGCTGCCCATAGGCAGAGTTAGGGCTTGGGGGACTCAGCATGGGGCAATGTGGAGATTTCCCTTGATGAGAGAGTAAGTGTAATCATGGCAGAAATCAGAACTCTTTAAATGCTTGGCCAGGAGCCGAGGGACCAGGATTCTTGTTGGGGAGGCATCTTTTTGACCCCATCAGCTGGTAAGTTGAAGGACTGTAAGGATGTTTGCAAAGGATCAGAAGGGCAGGGTCATGTAGAAGGGGTCCAGGCAGCAGTGCAAGCTAAGGGTGACCAGAAGGAGGAGGGAACAGAGACTTAGACCCTGAGAAAGCCTCGGTGCCTTGCCATGTGCCTCCTGGGCTCTGCAGATGAGTAGGGACAGATTGTCCAGAGCACAGAGAGGATGGACAGCTCCGAGTGGGAAAACCCCTCCTTCTGCCATCTAGTTTTCCAACTCTAGCCTTTGTCTCCTAGCTTGCCTGGGCCTCGGCCTCAGCTTTGGTTCCCAGGCCTTGGCCCTGTAAAAAGCAGATCTTTGAACTCTCTGTCTCCCTAATTTCTGGAACTTCAGCTGTCTGCAACTGAACAGGAAATGTAGTTGAAAGGGTCAGGCAGGCCAGTTCCCCTCCTCTGCCCTCCTGCTGACCTCCATACTCTGCTGGGGTGAGCCATAGCTTGCTGGATGTGGTCTTGTGGGGTCAAGGCATGCCCACTGGAGATGTCTGCTTGACCTGTGGGTCAGCGTCCCTCAAGTCATCAGTCCTCTCTAAGCTGTGAATGCCCTGTGTCCTTGAGGATAAAAAACAACTTCAGCCATTTTTGTAGACTAGAGTGGCAGAGATGATGGACTCTAAGCTTCTCGAGAAGACATGGGCTGGCCCCCCATGGAGACGGCAGGTGGAAATTTCTTGGTTCTGGTTTAATAGTAGATGCTGTGCTCACTGGTGGCAGGCAGACAGAAGCTGGTGGCTCTCTTCAGGCACATCTGGGTGACACCATTCCTTGGGGAAAGGTCCATACTGTTTATTGAGGGACTGGATTTAGGCAACTGTGACTTTTGCTTGTGAGCATTTGTGTCCAGCATCAGCACTGGCTGTTCCTTGCATGACAGAGAACTTAGAACTGATCACACTTTCCTGATATTTGTGAATAGCACCAAAAGGACCCAGCCACCGTCCACAGTGAAGAGAAAGAAGGCAGACAGAAGGGTTTTCAGGAAGGCAGCATCTCCCTTGAATGTGGCCAAGAGGGTCACAGCTTTGGCTGAGCCTGTCAGTTTGGACTGGGATGAGATAGTGCGAGGGGAAGAAAAATAGGAGTTTTGTCTTTGTGATTTAGTTTTTAAATTTTTATTGTTATTATCAGTATGTGTATGTGTGTGCTTGTGTGTGTGTGTGTATGTGTGTGTGTGTGTGTGTGCGCACGCACATGTGTGCATGCATCTATAGAGGCCTAAAGTCAGCTTCATGTGCTGTTGTGCCTCAGGATCCATTCACCTTATTTTTTTGAGTCAGGGTCTCTCAACAAACCTGGAGTTTGCTGATCAGGCTGGCCAACCAGTGAACCCCAGCCCGTCCCATTCTCCCTCGTGCTGGCGTTATAGGTGTGTGCCGACACGCCTGAACTTTTCTGTAGGTGCAGGGGATTGGACTCAGTCTTAGGCCTCTATGGCCAAGCGCTTTACAAACTGATCTGGCTCCCAACCCTGCTCAGGTTTTTAAGGACTGAGATTACTTTGTTTATATACTTTGTAACACTTGAGAGGCAACAGGAGTTACTAAGTATCTATTTAGCTTTTCCTCTGGATGAATCCAAATTAGAGGAAAATAGCATCCCTCACCCAGGGCTCTGCAGAGCATCTGCAGGCTCCTGCCATCGCTCAGAGCCTTAGGACAAGCTGCAGAGAGAATTGTCTATACAATGGACCTCAGGGCATCACTCATGCTCCGGGGTGCCCTTTGTGCTTGGGCACTGATTACAATTCCTTTTAAAGCTCGAGGCCAGAAAAGGATTCTCTCACCGCTAATGAACTCATGGCTTATCTTTCAAACACTCTGAGAACTTGCACTGTTCTCACCAGTGTGAGGAGAGCAAGTGGGTTTGCATCATCACCCCCTTTTCCTGGTGAGCAAGGAAGCTTCTGTTCTTATAAAGGAAGAAAGGAGAGCAGACAGAGGACAAGAGAAAATGGCTTCCTGTAGTTGTCTGGCCCAATGAGGAAGAGACCACAAACACATGGCGACTCAGCCTCCTGCTCTGAGTCTGTGCATTCATCTAGACATGTCATTCAAAAATTTTATAATCCCAGTTAAAAACTCACGGAGTCCAAGATGGTGTCTCAGTACCTTGTGTCTCCTGTTATATTTTTACCCTATTTTGTATAACTATTTGAGTTTTAGAGACTTGCCTGAGTGCCTGCATATGTATGTGCTCCATGTGTATTCATGCTGTGTATTTTAAAAATTAATAGTTTACAAAGGAATTAGGTTTCATTGTTATCTTTTTCTGAATAGAATTTATCTTTGTTGTTTATCATTTTCTGTCTTTCTTTTCTCTTGCCCTTTCCCACCTCCAGTGACCTTCTTTCCATATTTAAATTTTTACCTATTTATCATTGTCCACGCACACACTTGATGTGTGTGTAAATGTGTGTGCCTGTGAGCACAGGTGTGATTGCCACAGTACATGTGTGCTGGTCAGCTCTCTCCCTCTACCATGGATGTTGGGGATGGAACTTGCGTGGTCAGGCTTTTGCAAAACCCTTTACCAACTGAGCTATTTTACTGGCCAACATTTTTATTGAGACAATGTCTCATGCATCTTGGGTTAGCTTTGAACTGTCTGTGTAGCCAAGGCTGGCCCTGAACTCCTAACCCTCCAGCCTCTGTATCCCAGCTTCTGGGCTGATAAGAGTGTTCCACTATGCCAGAGTTGATATGGCTGTGTTCTCAAGTACTATGCCCTCGGGTCACATGATTTAGGAAGAGCCTCAGTTGCTCACAATTCTGTGTTTTATCTTGGGGAGAAGTTAGGTGGGTCCATGGCAGCTTTGGTGGTGGCCAGAACAGGGACTTGATCTGTCACTCATTCTCCCCCATTGTTTAGCAATTCCATCCTTAGGCCTGAAAACTCAAGCTCCATGATAGACTCCGATTGTCCAGGACTTGGTACCATATATGTCGCTGTAACGAGGCATTGTAATTGCAACTCCCAGCTCTTCACTTCATTGCCACGACTGTGGCTCTCAATGCATCACCTAATCCTCCGTTTCCTTTTGGATCTCTCTCCCTAGGAGCTGGTGGTCATGGGTGCTCCAGGCTCCTTTTATTGGGCTGGAACGCTCAAGGTGCTGAATCTCACGGAGAACACGTATTTTAAGCTGAATGATGAAGCGATTATGAACAGGCGCTATACCTACCTGGGTGAGTAGCTGGGGAGTCCATAGACAATAAGGGGAACTGTGAGTGCTCACCATCACCACGAGCTTTATTAATAGAAAGCAGCAGCGGTCAGGTTTTCCATTCATCAATCCCGTTACACTTTAATTAGAGTTCCTTAACATCGAGGACATCCATGGGTGATAGAGGGGACACCAAAAGAAGAAATGCAGTCCAGACTGGGTGGTTCTGTTAAAATCTGATGGGCAAGCTTCCAGGGGAACAACCATTTCCTTGCCTTGCTTGGCACCCAATCACGTTTAGCTGGTCAGGCACACAATGAATGCACGTGGATCCTGGCTTTCTCTAGGGACCATTGTGAATGATATGTCTGCTTCATCGTCACTAGCAGAAACAGTAAGAAGTGGGAATTTCCAGAGCAGCGGGCAACCTAATGGCGAGCCTTGCTCAAAGGCTCAGGAAAGTTCTCTTATTTTTTTTTTCAGTTATTTTAAGTGTCTAGAAAGAAGACAGGCACAATTTAAATTATGCCTGGCCCTGGGCTGGGTACAGTAGTGTGTAGCCATGTCCTTGCTACTCCAGAGGCCGCAGCCTCTACAGAAAGTTTGTGGAATCAAGGACATTTGAGGCCATTCGGGACTACAGAGTGGGATACTATAGAGATAAGCTGCCTTTGCTTGTGTATCAGTACCAATTCTCTACTCTTCAATTCAGGCCTTAAGAGGACTGAAAATGAAAATAAATTATAAAGGTCATTAATGACAAAATAATGTCTTTCATGCCTGCTATATGTAGATTAAGCCAAGGGAAACTCCTGACCCCCTTTTTTTTGTGCAGAGAATTCCGTGGAAAGGCCTTGCTAGGTGGGTGTAAGGAGCTAGGGGCTTGCCAATCCAGCGTAACTGTTTTGTTGACTAGTTCAGACCCAACATTGCTTTCCAAGCTTTGAGGAGCTTCCTCATCTGGCTCCTTAATGCACCGCTTATGAAGCATTTGCTCAGTGCCAGGCTTGGTGTGTCATTTCTTCTAATTTCTGAAACAGCTTTACAAGACCGCTATTATGACTGCCGTCTGCAGTTCATAGGTGAAGAAGTGGGAAGGCATTATGTAACTTGCCAAAGTCACATGGCTTGTAGGTAGCAGCATCCATTATAAAGCCTTGGTTTCTGATGCAGGGTCTGAAGCCCCAACCCCAGGGTGTGTGCTGCGGTCACCACTTGTCTCTGATACTGAACCTCCCACTATGCTACGAGCACCTCACATCGCCGGGGCATTGTATACTTGGTGAACAGAAGGGACTCAACACTGAGTCAGGAATAAAAGGTGCGAGAGAAACACACCTAGCTGGGCGCAGTGGTGCGCATCTATAATCCCAGCACTCAGGGAGGCAGAGGCAGGTGGATTTCTGTGAGTTTGAGGCCAGCCTGGCCTACAAAGAGAGTCCAAGACAGCCAAGGCTACACAGAGAAATCCCATCTCAAAAACAAAACAAAACAAAGCAAAAAACAGCAAACAAAAAAACCCAAAACAATAGCTGGTTGGTAGCTTTAGGTTTGAGGACAGATTCTGAGAATGTTGGGACTCAAGGTTTCTCCCTGTGACCAAGCAGAGGCCCTCATCTGCTACAAGGACTAGCTTGGAGTAGATGAGGGTGGGTATCACCCTTCTCACTTTTGGGAAATGTGAGTCTTCAAGTTGAGAAAAACGAGAGATAGCCATGCTAAAGTGATCGCAGCTGCCACATACCACAAAAGTCAACATATAGTCACAGCACTAGGGGATAAGGTCATGAGAAGGCTTGGATGATATACAGCAAAGTAGACTTTTCCAGCTGGCCAGAGGCATGGCTTCAGCCTGCCAGCTAGGTATTTAGAAGGCAAGAGACATTTAAACTAAGCTCCAATGCCCGTTTCCCATTGTCTCTGGGCTCCTTTCAAAAATACGGCCACCCATCTGCTCACCCATCCATGCATCCATCCATCATGGGTGTCTTTCACTTCTCTTAAAAAGGACAGGCCACAGTTGCTAGCATCAAGTTCTCTGGAGTTGGGCAGATTGGATTTGAGTCTCACTTGCTAATCTTAGGTGTGGTTATCTGGCCATGTATTGTCTATATGCAAAAAAAAAATATTGAGATATTTTACAATATTAGGAATTGAACCCAGGGCCTTGCACATACCTAGCAAGCATTCTACCATTGAGCTGAACCCCCGAGCCCTATATTCATTTTCTTGACTCAGATGGGGTTTGCATTGTAAGGATGTAGTCATTCATGAATTTGTACATGTTAGCGTATGGACTACGTTGTTAGAATTACATTTCCACAAAGTAAGAAGCACACAGAGTATGGTTTTTTGTTTTTGTTTTTTACCAGCCTGCTTGTTCCTACAGGACAATAGGAAGGCACAGTCCTCACCGTGTGCTCGTGAGCTTGCATCTCTGTGAGACAAGCTGTTCATTATGAAAAGATTGTCAGCTTCCGTTTGCCCTCCAGAAGGCTCTGTGTCCTAGGAATCCCAAGAGCACACTGCCCAGACACCTACCTAGGCTGTGTTTTCTTATCTGACCTCCTTTCTCAAGTGTGTCCCTGCTTTCTTCCCATCCCGTTCAGGCTACGCAGTGACCGCGGGCCACTTCTCTCATCCGTCCATCACTGATGTGGTAGGAGGTGCCCCACAGGATGAAGGCATTGGAAAGGTGAGGAGACACGCCTGAGCATGGTGCAGTGCCAGGCAGAGGAGGGGAGGATGCTGCCCTGTTGGGACTCCCCAGTTTGCTGTGCCCTGAACACTCCCATAGGCTGATGAGGGGTGGGCTGGCGGGGAGCGCTCTGTCTCCTTTTGGTCACGCTGAGAGAGTTCACCTTGAAAGCTTACAGTTAGATATTACTCTTTGCCAATTCTCTTCTTTGCAACTGACCTCGTGTGTGACCTTAAGGTATTCTTCAGAGGAAGGGTGTCTGGTGGTGTTCAGACTCGAATACCACCACCTTCCCAAACCTTTACCTCGATTCTGACCTGATGAAGCCAGATCTTACCTGTAATGCCTTTAGAGCTTTGTAATGCCGGATTTTCACTTGTTCCCCCAATGTTTCAGGAAAAAAAGGATTGTGTTTTTAGACTAGTGTAAGCATGGCTAGCCTGGGAGCGTGTAGATATGGCTTTCTCTGGTGTATCTCCAGGAAGGCGGAGGACACCCTGTGGCCCAGAGTGCCCTGAGACTCTGGGAGTTATGGCCTCTAAGGGCCTAGTAACGGGAGCTGTAGCTGTCGGTAGCACTTCCGCTGGACCACTGGAGATCCGCTTTCATCTTACCGGTTGTGTTTATTACTCTTCTCACTGCTGTGACCTGTCATGCCTGCCAAGAAGCCATTTAGGGAAAGGAGGTTTTGTTTTGGGGTTGAGTCTGAGGAGATACTCTCCACCATGATGTGGAAGGCATGGCGGCACACAGGAAGCTTTGCATCCACGCGCCAGGAGCAGAAAGCTAGCCTCGAGGCCTGCCCCCCAACTCCCACCTTCAGTGAGGCCCAACTTCCCTACCCTCCCAAACAGTAACACCCGCTGAGAACCAGGTGTTTTAAACATATGAGCCTATGGGGACCTTCCACATTCAAACCAGAGTGTTGGGAAAAACTGAACAGTAGTGTAAATTTTGGGCCCATAGTCCCAAAAGTAGACCAGTGACTGTGTGGGACCGTATCACCTATGGTTCAGAGAAGTGGAAGCCTAAGTTCTGGCTAATGAGCACCTTCATCGAAAGGTCAGAGAGCTAAGAGCATCAGCTGACAGACAGGCTTCCTTGAGACGTGCTCATGACATCATCGCTATGGGTTATCTTGGGCAGGCGGCAGCAGTGGCTCCTGTTTCTGGAGGATGATGCTGTGGAGAGAGGCCCTTTGAAAGTGAAAGCAAATGTCAAGGCCAAGGCAGAGGCTGTTGGCATTGGGCAGTTGAACTCTGATAACTTCTGTCAAGAGCTGGCTCTGTCTGAGTCACATGAATTCCTCCACATAGCAGAAGAAAAAGCCCCAATGGTGGTGGCGCCATCCAGGGAGGAAGTAGGGCCACCAGACTTCTCTGTGTGACCTTTAGGATTTGTTCATATTCATTCCTGGTGTGAGAACACCAGGGCCTTCATACCAACATGCTGTTCCTCAGCCCAGGAAAGGGCCCTTTGCCCTGGCTCTCATTAGCTCATCTTTACATATTATATAACCAGAGAGGCTGCAGAGGTGGCACACTGATTCAGTGCTTGCTGTCCTCGTAGATGACTAGAGTTTAGTTCCCAGCATGCACTTCAAGCAGCTCCCAGCTGCCTGTAACTCCAGCTCTGGGAGATCTGATGCCTTCTGGACTCTCCACATAGCACATACATGGGGCATACATCTTGCAGAGAACTAGAGTTGGTTCCCAGCACCCAGTGGTGGCTCACAACTATCTGCAACTCCAGTTCCAGTGGGTCCAGTGCCTTCTTATGACCACTGTGCGCACCAGGCATGCATGTGATCTACATACACACATGCAGGCAAAACACACATATGTGTAAAATAAATCAATAAATCTCTTTCTAAAAACAAGATACAATCAATGAACTCATAGTGCTAGGAGCCCTCACACACACACACACACACACACACACACACAAATCCCACAATAAAGGGATTTTTTTTTAGTGTTTACTTGCTTCTTTCTAAAACTAAACCCATGTTTATCCACACAGATTTCATAGTTCTAAAGACTCTGTAGAATCATTTTGGGGCGGTTATCTCCAGTGTTCACCTCCACCCCAGGACTCCCAGGATTGAAAGAGTTAAAGAGAAAGCTTGTCTATCTTCAGAGAGCTGGGAGTGGGGATCGCTCAGCTCTCAATGGGGAGTCCTTCTGGGCCTTGCTGTGCCTGGTTTCGACAAACTCTGTGGTTTGGGAGCTGTGGAGACCATTTCCGCCCCAGGATTGAAGGACGCTCTCTTTATAGAGCGGCTCAGAGTTCCGTTGTCACAGTCGTGATCACTGATCAGTGTCCACACACCTGTGAGAGACAACAGGCAGACACTGATGGATATCTTTAGTCAGTGCTTTCAACCTGACTACGATTCTTTTTAAATCCATAGGTTTATATATTCAGAGCGGACCGAAGATCAGGGACCCTCGTAAAGATTTTTCAGGCATCAGGAAAAAAGGTGAGTCTTGGTGTGGTTCCTTCAAGGATGTGCATGACCTGAGGGCTCATGCTCGGGAGGAGACACAGGTTTGCACATGGCTAAGTTACAGGCTGATTTTAAAAGGTGTCATGGTGCAGGCGCTGGCATTCAGATGATGTGTGCTGTCCCTCTGCCTTTCCTTTCACTCCTGTCTCCTCTAGCTGCTCAGGTATGCACACCTTCAGCCCACAAAGATCAAGTACTGTCAAGGGCAGGCAGGGAAGTGGCCACTCAAGGGACAGGAAGACCAATCTTCCCCATTGTCTCTGTCTCATCTGCCCGATATTGCCTCCTCTTCCAATGTCCTTGACTCTCCACTGCCACTGCCAGGGGGACTGCTATCACAGAGAGAAACTTCAAGTGAACCCTCCTCAGTTCCATGTACAGGGATGTTCAATCCACAGCCTGTAGGCTGTGTGCCCCATAGGTTAATGCATCCAGCACAAAATTACAAAATTCCTTAAATACTATGAGGTGTTTTTATTTGCTTAGTTATTTGTTTGCTTGCTTTGTGTAACTATTGTACTGTCCTCAGATATGAGCTTTTTGGTAACAACGTGGTGTTCTTAGAGCGCTGAGAAACAAATAGCCACAAAGCCGTCTCTGAAGGCTGTCTTGGAGGAGGGGTCTCTTCCTGTGACAGCTACCATGTTCTTCTCCATCCCTGTTTCCCCAAAGTTTCCATTGTAACCATGAGATTAAGCCAGTAGAGTGGTTCCACGATTCATTCACATCCTTTCCCTAGTCTTCCTTGTCCTGTCTGTGTTCTTGCAGCTTAGCTCAGCAAGAAGGTGTGGCTGAGTTTAGCAGCTCAGTGGGATAAGCTTGAGGCCAGGGGGATTGTGGGGTCATGTGGAGGATGTTGGAGGCCTTTGTGGGCTCTGGGAAAAAGCTTAGGATGCATGGAATGTGGGAGGGAGATGCCAGGAGGCTTTGCCCGGAAGTTTCCCTGAGACAAGGAGAAAACAATGAATGTTCCTTCCTGGCCCACTTCCTTTGGTTTCTGCTTCATTCCTGCCCTGCCATGATCTTGCTACACACCAGCTTAGAAACATTCCATGTTGTTCCAACAGTGAATGGTATTTGGAGTTGAAAAAATCTCATATACATATAGTTGTTATTCTTTTTCTATGGTTGCAATTCTAACAACCTTAATATATACACAGTATATAATGATCATAACCTCTGCATGAAAAAAAGTGTACCCACAAACTTGGCTTTGCTTTTAGCTCTGGGAAGTGTGCTGGCACGTGTTATTTTAACATTCTCCAAACCCCAAAATATTAGCATCAGAAGGTAACCATGAAAAATTTGCAAAATACGTTTTCTAAGCAACCCTAAAGTTTGAAAAGAAATAGCTGCATACACTTTGTGATATATAAAAAAGAGCCTCCCCCTTACAAACAAACCAAGCAGGGTGTGGCTATCCTAAGACAGACGGATGGTTGTGTCCATTGTGGCTAGTGTGCCTGCATCGGACAGCATGAACACCCTTTCAGAGTGGCTGCAGAACAGGACTCTGCCCGGCGTTGCTTTCTGAGTGTCCTTCTATTGTCCTTCTGGTCAGGTTTGGAGCGTGGCTTCCAATTGTATCTCAGTGAGTCAGGTTGGGGGGGGCAGTTTGAGAGTAGATGCCGTGCAGTCTTTGAGAGCCCTTGTCTAAGCTGCCTGAGGAATCCATGCATGAGTTCTAGGGCAGACACGTGTGTTTGAATGGCTTCATCATGATGGTAGACACTGCAGGGTCACAGCCCTCTCCTTCCACCTTCTCAGTCTCCCTCCGCCTCTGCCTCCTTCCTCCCTCCCTCCTTTCCTTCCTCCTCCCTTCTTCCCTCCCTCCTTCCCTTCCTCCCTCTCTCCCTCCTTTCCTTCCTCCTTCCCTCCTTCGCTTCTTTCCTTCCTCCCTCTCTCCCTCCTTCCCTTCCTCCCTCTCTCCCTCCTTTCTTTCCTCCTTCCCTCCTTCCCTTCCTTTCTTCCTTCCTCCTTCCTTCCCTTCTTTCCTTCCT